ATATATACATTTAACACTTACTGCATATGACGCAAATTTTCGGTCCGTCTGGACCCTCTTCAGGCGTAGTCTGATCGTCGTCTGAACCAATGGTTCGTCTCCGTTTCCGCATAACATGTTACCTAACGCTATATGGAGTAGTGGTTATTCATGAGTATGGTAAGTGACTCATGACATCATACCACTGTTCCTTTATATTATAGGCTATGATAGAATTCGATAAAATGTATAGACGAAAAACGTCAACATATAAAGAAAACGCCCACAATAATAATAGGAGTGGGAGTGTATACTACTGCGGGGGAGCTGCACGTTCCCCCACTCTTCTTTCTTATTGAGGCCGGGATTATGTATTTTAATTCTCTCAGCCTCCGTCACTTGTCGCATCATCGGGTTTTCTGCATGTTTACTAAGGATTTTGACCGTTAACTCCTTCATTTCTCCTCCGTGCTCCTCTTCCATGTGCTGATAAAACACCGAAGTTTTCTCTTTGTTTACATACCGTACTTATTATAGTGTTCATTTACCCTTTCTCCTATGCTTCTACTAGATGTTTTTCCATGTATGTCCCTGCTTCATTTCCACTGCATTCTCCGCATCTTATTTCGTAAACCACTTCTCGTTCCTTACAATTTACTTTCATACCACTTTTACATATCGTACACGATTTATCTGCACATAGTTTGGACTTGAAGGGGTTCAAATGCATAAGCTCCTTTCAAATGCTAGTGCCATGCTCTCTCGATGACTTTAACTTTAGGTCGCATGTTTTAAGTATTATATTCACTTTTTTTTCTCGAGGTCGCTCCCAGGGGTCGCATCGATGAACATCACGGCTTCACTTCCTCCTTTTTCGAACCATGTTTCACGTTTCATTCTCTTATTAATTCCTTCATTCATTTTCCATTTTTTCGATCTATAAAGGGGGTTGTTCCTTCTCTATCTTCTTCTTCTAACATCGTTTTAAATTTATTAATTGCTCTAACGTGGACTTGTTTTCTTTCAGTACAGCTGTATCCGCTATATTGCATTCTGTCAATAAATTATTGTATGTGTTGGTTTCTTTCTTCCGTCCCAATGTACTCAGAGTTGTTTTTCATAACACGGATGAGGTCCGCTACTAGTATTTGAAGTTTCGTTTTCATTGGTAAAGCTGAGTTTCTGTTAATTTGTAGCTTACTAGCGATGAGTTTAGAGTAATGTGCATGTAAAATTTGATGTGTAGGTCTTCCGTTTTTATTAACAACCTGTATCCATACGTTAAGGTCGAGGATGGGTAAACGTTTGGTTATTATGTAGTTGAGGGTGGTCAACTGTGACCTTGATGCTGGGACGTATAGAGTTCGCTATTTCTTTAAAACCTTTAAATGCCGGTAGCCAAGTTTTTTAGGCCACCGGTGTGTGTTTGAGGGTGCTCTTCGATTAGAAGTATATGTGTGAGTCATTGGGGGAATTCCCTCATTATAAACACTGTAGAGGGCCAGGCACATGATAATAGTGTGGTTTGCAGTTTGGTTTATTTTCAAGTGTTTATAGAGTGATTTACAAGACGTATTTTGATATCAATTTTTTTGTCAAATAACGATGGAATTGAGACACGCTCTTATTACTGATCCAGATGAAGTAGTGCGAATATTAGAATAAATGTCAAATATTGATAGTAGTTCAGAAGGAGGTTCAGATCTTTCTGATGATGACTTGAATAAGGTGAGTGAGCCTGATGAAGACAGTGGGAGGTCCCATTTTGATGATGATGAGCCTGGGCCTAGCCAAGCACCTGGGTATGATGGGGATAGTTCATTTTCTGATGTGGATAGTTCATTCAAGTACGTTTTTTTTAATCATAAAATTAGTATTTCTTTATAAAATTTAATTATTTTTTAAATAAACTGTTTATTATATAATTCTCTACCCATGTTTGCTAAATATTATTGGTGCTTTCATTAGAAAAATAAATTATTTGTTGTGAATTTTTACAATCTCTTTGAAATTTTTGTTTTTTCCCGCAATTTTTAATTAATTAATTAATAAAATTTTGAATTTTTTATTTTTTTTATCATTTAGAGAAACTAATACACTTTACAGAAATATATAGTTTTGCTATATTTAGTCAAGTGGTTTAGCCACAATACTTGATTTTCAGAAATGTGTAAAATCACTTGAAATTCAGACATGTAAAGGTAGCATTCATTACCCAGTCAGCAGCATGCTGACTGGGTTTTGTTTCCGAGCAATTTCTTCTTTCTTTCTTTACCAAGTCAGCAGCATGCTGACTGGGTTCTGTTTCCGAGCAGTTTCTTCTTTCTTTCTTTCTGGCAACATTTAAAAAGGCTACTAGTGGCAAACTACTGGACTGATTTAATTAAAAACTTGGTCAGTAGGACTGGTGCCACCTCCCATTTATGTGTTGTTCACAATTCCGGGGTCAAAGGTCAAATAAGGGGAATTAGGGTAAAAAAACCAAAAATCGTATGAAAGACTACTTGTCTCACAAATAAAGTAGCACAGTCGTGTCCTTTGCAACATATACATTTATACATTAGCATTAGGCAGGGTCTGTAGGGTGTTCAGGGATAAGGGTCAAAGGCCATTAAGGGGTAATTTTTATCTTTTTTCTGGCAACATTTAAAAACGCTACTAGTGCCAAACGGTTGTGCCGATTTCAACCAAACCTGGTCAGTATAATCGGTGACACCTCTCATACATGGGGTGTTCACTGCTTGGGGTCAAAGGTCACACAGGGGTCATTAGGGTAAAACACTTTCAAAAAAATAAATAAAAGACTTCTGTCAAAAAATAACATAGCACAGTCTTGTCCTGGGCACATATGTATTGGCATAAGGTAGGGTCTCTATGGTGTTCAGAGATTTACGGTCAAAGGTCATTAAAGGGTTATTTTTTGTTCTCTCTAGTAACATTTCAAAATGCTACTAATGGCAAACCATTGGACGAAATTCAATCAAATTTCGTCATTAAGAACCGGCGACACCTCCTACACCCCAATCTGGGATCAGGGTAACAAAGGGGTCATCGGGGTCAAATTTTAAAAAAACTCCAGTTGAGCTGGAATTTACCAGGAATGATTCTTAGGACCTTCTAAACATGAAAAACTACTCTTCACCTATAGGTCAAAAGTTACAAGGGTCACTATAGTGAAAATTATCAAATCATAATGAAAACTTGTGGACATCTGCTCACTGAACGGTTCACTGCACACTTTAACACAGTAAATGAGTCAAAACCGGACCCCCTTTTCTCACAAAATCGATTATATAATTTGAATTGTTTCAGTTGGCAATCTGGGGCGATCGGATTATGAAACTAGATATTTTAAGCTTTATAATCATCTATATATTTTTACAATTAATGCAAAGTTGAGTGATCATTTTTCTTTCAAAATTGACTATCTCTTATGCTTTTGCATAGGAAAAAGTTTAAAATTAGAGTGTTTTTTGGTATACTTCCTGCTTCTTTTTACCATAACTCTGCAACGACAGGTCGCTAAACTTCGGAGTGAATGGTCAATTGTAGCTTATAAATTAAGCTTTCTTTTACCATGTAAGCCCCATGCTGGTTGCTTAAATAACCATTAATCATTTTTTCTTCACAATTTTGTATTCAGAACTGTTTTACCCTTCCTATAAATGACATCACACGCTTAAGGCCAATAGCAGCTACGAATTTCGAGTTTTTTGCGGTTAGTGCGTTCGTGCATAAGAAGTAGGTCAAATTTACCTGAATGAGCATTTGTCGCAAATAGAGGAAAAGTTTTCATTATGATTTCTAGTGAGTAATGATTGGACCAATTGCATTAGACAGACTCCTACCAAGCATGAGGTGTTCACACAGGTTGAGCGTAAAGGTCACAGTGGTTATCTCTTAAAAAATGACTGGGGTCATGTTCTATTGAACATAGTATCTCTAGTTGTATCTGTTTCCCGGTCTATCTCTATATTGCAAGTATTATTATCTCTCACAACGAAGTTTATATCATCAACATACCTGGTACACATTAAGCATGTGATGTGTTCCTTGTACTGTATAGCTGAAGCCTAAACTGTTTATCCCACCAGACCATGAATAATGTATCCTACATCGGCAGCCAGGCAGTTTCCTATAGCTCCTCCTTTAGTTTGCTTGTATAGACGGTCTTTAAAAATAAATATGTGTGTGGTTGAAGTTACTTTCAAAGAATATTTTAGTGCGTAGATTATCATTTTCTAATAACGTCTCGATCATTAGGTATTTTACTGGGTTGAATCCATGTACCCCATCTGATATTCTTATTTGGGTTGGACCCAGAACCTGTGATAGTAAGATATATACCTCCTTTAGTGCGTGTAGGGCAAAAATCTTTAAGACACTCCGGGATACTTTCTTTAGAGTCATGTTTGAGGAGCAGACCTAGTTCATAGAATCGACACCCCCAAACGTGACATTTTAAATTTGTCAAAAATGTTTATAAACTATTATTATGTACATTTTCGTCTAACAAGAATGAAATTATCTTAACTTTTAATGCTCTTAATTTTTTTTATAGCGTGTGGCAATAATAAATTGGGACGCGATTGCACTATAATCTGCAGCTCAACGAATCCAGGATGTCCAGGAGTACTGTTTTGTCCACCTGACCCTTTCGGTTGTTCCTGCATGTCCGGTTATGGTGACCTTTATTGCGAAAGCGGTAGTGTTTGCAGCATTTATTTCATCTTTTTTTAATGTACATTTTCAATTTATCAAAAATGTTTATAAATTATTATTATGTACATTTTGGTCTAACAATCTAAAAAAAATGCAGAAACATTGGTTTAATGTTTATAGAAGCACCAATATATATTCATTTTTATTTAAAAAAATAAACCAATCAAAGTATGTAATAAGGCCTACAGATTTGCTCAGTACAATATATTCTCATTCATGTAAATTAGTATGTGACACTGGAACAACAGGCAAGTATGGACCCGGATGCCTTCTTGATTGTCACTGTGACGCTAATGAATGTCAGCCTTCAGAGGGTTGCAACACAAATGTCACTTGTCATTCTGGTTACACCGGCACCCGTTGTCTAGGTTTGTAAATACGTTATTTTGAAACAACATGAATCAATAATCCTGATAATGATATGTATGCAAAGTCGATTAAAGGAACTTTCAATTTATTGGTGATCCGCTTCACAAAACAGATCACCTCTTGTTATTGTCAGAGATCTTTTTCATTGGTGATCCGCTTCACGAGCGGATTACCTCATTGTCATAGATCTTTTTCATTTTCTCCATTTTTAAAAATTCTTTCTTTCTCCCCATTTCTTGTTAGCACGATATCTCAAAATTTGGATGAGCTACGTACATGCGCGCTTCAACGAACATTTTGCTTGGCCAAAATTAATCACAATAAAGTTGTCAATGTGCTCAGTCATGCGTGACGTCATTTATGCGAAATTTTGCGTTTTTACATTATCATAGGGGCCTATCATCCTAACTAATTGCCATTTCGAAATATTTAGAGAGCATAAACTTCAGGTCGAAGTTAAATGTCATGTACCTGAATTTTATGCACGCACGTAATACGCGTACGCGTGCGTCAAGATTTTAAAATGTTCAATATCACTTTTTGACTAAATTAGAGCACGTTTCAGGCCATTTTGAGCATTTCAACATTTTTCAGATTTCCGCACCGCGCGCGCATTTTTACACGTGTAGCATGTACGGAAGCTAGAAATTTCATATTTTTACATGTTTTGGGTTTCTGACACTGTTTTCACAAATTTCCATTCTTTTTCAGTCATCTTAGGGTCAATAGCAATGCCGTACGAGCGCATCAAAGATATGAATCCTTAAGTCATGCGCGTTTTTGTCGACAAACACTGACAAAATCATGCCTATTTTCAATCAGTTATAGCTCCTTAGGGTGAAAGGTGACCTCCAATTTTTATTACTTATTTTTAAAGCACATGAGTTGTACATATGATTATTTTTATAGATCAAAATGGCTGATTGGACATTGTAACGTTATCGCATTGCCATCTGAAATTTAAAAAAAATATATATTTTTATCTATGGCGTCATTTGTTAAAATACTCATTTAAGCCTATCTCACTTATCTTTATTCGATCGTCTCCCAACTTTGAGTATGTTATAGCTAAGGCAATTTTCTTTCATAAATGTGACTTTTTTTTACATTTGATGAAGTAATCATGGTCAAAATAAATGTTTTTTATGACTTTGATGACCCCATATCATCATAACCAATTGACATTTCTAATCATATTCAATGGGCATTAAACTTCAGGTCAAGGATAAATATCATGTACCTTAATTTTCCGTGTGTGCATTATAACGTGCGCGTACGTGTGCGTTAAGATTTTGTTAATGCTCAAAATCATGCCTATTTTAAATCAATTACAGCTCTTTAGGATGAAAGGTGACCCCCAATTTTTATTACATATTCTGAGAACACATGAGTTGTAAATATGATTTTATAGATCGTTATAGCTGATCAGACGTTGTGACGTCATCATATTGCCATCTGAATACAAAACAAGAGCGACCGCTCTCATGGTCCGTGCGTTCCTCCACGCTTAAATACGGTACAGGCGCAAGTTATCGTATTTGGGTTTTTTTCGAAGAGCTAATAAGATTTTTTGAATAAATAAATTGAATGTTTATTTTTACAAAAAAAAAACATTCTTTGGAATTAAAAACTAAGGTACATAAAATTGAACAAGAATAGCTTCTTAAAATTGTAAAAAAAAAGTATTGAATATCATGCGCCATTCGACCCCACGACCTTATGTTCTTTAGAACACATGCTTAACCAACCGCGCCATTCATGCGACGTGCGTTATTAGTGGAAATGGCAATAATGTACAGTCCTTGCTGAAACCCCCTGTTTTGTTTTGTTGGTGTAGGGTAATGTGTCATTTATTTTTCACTTTGATGACGTTTTCATGGTAAAAATAAATGTTTTTCTGACCTCACACCCACCTCTATCTTTCTTAAATTTTTTGAGACTCGAGAGAGGGCGGCAGACTTGATATTGAACTGCACAGTTTGACAATCCTGGCTACGCTATTTTTCCATAAGTCATTTTATTTTTCCATAAGTCATGCTTTTAAGCACTGTAAAATATCTTTTGCCTGACAAGCGGATCACCCAACTCGTCCTCAGTGACGAGTTAAAATCTAGTTTTATTTCATCTTATACAAACCCTCGACCTAGAAGAACACCCAGACATACAGGGGCGCGCTTTAGTAACACCTTTCACTTCTCGCTTGTGCTAACAAAATATCTTTATATCCCCAGACGGCTCATTTGGATTTAACCAAGGACAGTCTACAGGCCCGTAGCCAGGTTCTTCCAATGGGGGGGGGGGTGTTTTTCTCGTTCACATTGTTAGGATGTATAATTTCACAATGCATAATGTTTGTTTGTGACACTAATTTACATTTTTACAAAATGCCCACTGCGTATCAATGTTATAATTTTTATATTTCAGTTCATTTTTATAAAGATATTTTTTTGAATTCTACATTGTGTCTTGCCTTCTTTTTTGTCTGCTCGTTTGCATCGTCAATATTGTTCTTAAATTGAGACCGGTCCATGGATATAATTAACATTATTAACAGCAACAACATCAAAAACAAAAACAACAACAATACATCTAAATTAATAGCAACAACAAACCATAGTATCGTCATATGCTTATTTTACTCAGATTTGTTTTTTAAAATCAACACAAAGAAAGTAAAACTGCCGCACATTTGTATTAAAATACTAAACTACCGCACATTTGTATTAAAATACTAAACAAGCAAATAAGTAATTACAATGAGTTTCACGAAACAATATACTATGAAGTATAGACATACCACACATTTAGAATTAAAATAGATAAACATAAAAAAACATAAATGGCTTAATGATAAACATACAAAAAATTAAGTTATGTCAAGCATCAATTTATCCATATTCAGTATACTGCAAAAATATAATAATACAGCTATATTTACTGTCACTATTATCATTATTATTATTATTATTATTATTATTATTATTATTATTATTATTATTATTATTATTATTATTATTTTTATTATTATTATTAATTGGGCTAAGTAAATTATATTGAACATAAATACTTAGGTGTATGGATATACGAAAAACTGTCATGAAATGACAACACCGCGAAACTTTTTATCAAACCAACGTATGTACTTTTTAAGAAAATTTAAAGATTGGTAAAAGATGCATTGTTTCAATTTCACCAGTCTTTGATACAGTCTATAGTAAGCTTTTGCTGTATTGTATGGCTGAATAGTTTACCTAAAAATAATGCAATTACAGAGGATTTGTCTAAGAAGGTAATAGGCGCAGACGTTCCGTCTATTTCTGATATCTGTGATTAGGCTATAGAGAAAAAACCTAAAATGTATAATTAATGACAAGTCCCATCCTCTGTTTAACCATAATCAGTAAATCCAGACGAATTATTTTATCAATTCAGAAGAATGAGCATCATAACAAATCATTTCTCCGTGTGCAATAATAATACTGTATTTTTATGTCTCTATTTGATCACAGCGCAATTAATTTTGTAATGTTTCTGTTTTTATATTTATACTGCTTTACATCATTTTACGTATAGGCCTAACTTTGTTTTTTTATATCGTATCCATTTTTATAGTATTTTAGTATGCCACTGTTTTAATTGTGAACCTTGGAAAACAAATTTCATTAAATTTGTTGACTATAAACTTGAACTTTAACTTGAACTTAAATTGTGTGTTATAATTTTGATAATAAACGAGATATTGATGGGTATCATGAGTGTTTTAATTTAACTCTAATATATATGTTTTCCGAAAATTGGAATTTGAAGGATAATTGTTGATTTTGGGTGGCAAATTTCATTGGTTGCTTAGGGATTAGTTGGGTACTAGTTAAGGTTTTCTGTTTCATTTTGTGTTTTTAATTTGTTTATATCCTTATATTATGCTTTTATCTTTATGCCAGAAAGGGATCCAAACGTTGAATGCCCTGTTGGATATTATGGCCCACAATGCACCAAAATATGTCATTGTCAGATCTCGTTGAATTGTGATCGAAATAATGGAAGTTGCCCTAATGGTAATGTTTGTGAAGAAGGATGGGCTGGGGCAGGCTGCCAGCAAGGTAAAACAGTCGAAGAAGTCAATCAATTTTTTTTAAAGCCGTTTATTGGAAATGACACTCGCCTTGGCAGTGACAATTGTCGGGAACAATTCCTGTTTGATATTTTTCCCCTATTATTTACATAAGCCTATGTTTTTTTTAAAATATATTTTCTCAATATAGTTCTCCCGGCACTGAGTGATGCTCCCCTGGTCGTAGCATTTGCAAATAATGTCAACATCCGTTGGTCAACTTGGAGTCTGGACAATGATTATGGCCGTGGTACTGTCCATAGTTACCAACTTGAATATTGGCCAACTAATGATGCCAGCGATTTAGTTGTTCTAAATATTACAATGGGAACAGAAATGAACATATTGTGGTCACAGATGAACTATAACACAGAATATAGTTTCACAGTAAAAGTTGTTACTGAAGTTGAAGGTGTATTAGTTTCTGGAAAAGCCAGTCCATTGGCTGAGATATGTAAGTAGTTAACACCATCCTGTAATAACATTGTTAGATCCCGTTAATAATATGCTTTAAGAAACTAATTCCTCCAAGCTTTAAGCAAGTATTGCCAAGTTTCGAAAGCGCTGTTGAAACATAAAAGCTGAGCCGTGATTCTAAAAATGCCTGAAGGCTTGCGAGGACTGAAGTCATTTCAGTGGCGTCACAGAGTTTATGGGGCCCTGGCGCTGACTCTCATTAGGCACCCTAAAAGTGAGCGAAGAGCATTAAGTTTTTGAGCGGAGCGAGCAAACAGGCGCAGAGGGAAATGGACGCATAGGACCCCCGGACAGAGTCCCGGGGGTGAAGTTCCCTTTTGGGGGTCTGAGAGGGTTTCGTGCTCAGAGCTTATGTCATTTATGAACTGTTAACTGAGTTAAGAGAGAAAATAGAATGGTCCATGACTGATGAAATATTTTAGACAATTTTATGACAAAACCAACATAGATTACATAGGCCAACTTCCAGAACTACCAGTAGGCCTATGTAGGTTTAAATAATAAAGAGAATATTTTAGTGAGAAACAAAACATGTTTTCATAACGTATATACAATGCAAATCAGATCGATTACAGAATCAGGAACAATGTCAAACATCAGAACCCAGCTTTTATTGTTTAAAACTGTCGGAGCCCCATCGAATGAAACTATGGTATGATAGTTTATATTATTTTTTTAATTACAATGTCGGGGCCCCTCGTGCCTCGGGGCCCTGGCGCTCCGCCCCCGTCAGCTCCCGAGCGTGACGCCACTGAGTCATTTTCTTAGATTAAATTAACGACTTATAAAAGCTGTGGTACTAAGGTTTCTTTGACAATTCGAATCCAATTGGATGCTGATTTTTTTACACTCTTTTGTACATCATAACGTAGTGAAGCTGCTAGTTCTCAATATACTGCAAATATAAGAGATTAATATGATCACACCTTCAACTAGCATTTTAAACGACAAAACGGGACCTTCTAAAGGATACGTTCTTTTTAAATAATGCCAAAAAAGAATGATAATTTAAACCGTCTTGAGTAAAATCAAGAGAAATCTACGAGTGATAAAAATAGAAACTGCTGAAGCTGGGATTCATTCCCGGAACCTTTTTATGCCTATACAGATACCTTAAACAACCAGCCATTGGAGATTCATTGCGAATTACAATCCAATTAGAAGAAACTGATTGTCCATATCCATTTGCACTTGCGTATTAGAACCGCACTAGTTCTAAATACACAGCAAGTATCAGAGAGCACTATGATATGTAATTATATAAGGCATTTTAAACCACAAAACAGATCACCAAAATATAATAATAATAGTAATTGTAATAATTGCATTAACAATAATTATTATGAAATGCTGCGTAGCACCTGTGTAAAGATATGTAGACAAATTGGTGAATTATTTGATAGAGCTTTGTATCATTATATATTTTACTTTTTATTTATTTATTCATTTGGCATTACAGCCCGTGAGTCGCAAAGGCAGGAAACCTACTGTCGCCAAAAGAATGTGCGACTCGGTATTATAAATAATAGAATAAAATAATTGAATGATTTACCAATTTCGTTACATCTGTTTGCAATGCTGCTACGCTGAAACTCTGATTAGGCTTACGTTTACATTCATTTGCAACAGTGTCAAGACTTACTACAACAACATCATACGAAGAAAGACAGACAACAGGTAGGTAGATATGATTACTAACAATTTCATTGAATACATCAGTACAACAACACACATGCATGCAAATACACACAACCCAGCCAGCCATACACATAATAATAATAATAATAATAATAATAATAATAATAATATAATATAAAACCGTAATATAAAAATAATAATAATAATAATAATAATATTAACAATAATAATAATAATAATAATAATAATATTAATAATAATAATAATATTAATAATAACAATAATAATAATAATAAATATTTATATAGCGCCTAATTTTGACAACCTCGAGTCGCTCAACAACAACATAATAATAAACAAAAAAATAAAAAATAAAAATGAGTAGCGTTGTTCTTTAATGGTCTCCACATCCATACTCTACTCCTGATTGTCACGAAAATATAAAGGATCCTTCCATTTAATATCAGAAATGTAACCTCAGAGGTAATAATATAGGGCATTTTGTATTACCTTTAATTGTTTCATTAATATTGACTGTGTTGAAGTATTATTATTTATTTTACACAGAATCAACAACGGCCAAAGTGACGACAGTACCACTGACGTCAGGAGCAAAAGGACAGACCACTGGTATGTAGATATGCCTACATTGTTCTATATAATTATCATTATCCTTCCCAGAGACTTAGATATCTAAAAGAAATTATGATATACACACAACCCCAGCCCCCACCCCTCCACACACACACACACATCAAATAGATAATAAAATATAATTTTATTTAATTGCAGGTTAGTTAAGCGAAGCCTAGTTTGTCTTATATGCCAACCTTCTTAATCCTAGGCAGGCTGGCCCTTTGTAGGCCATGACCCATTACAGTAGTTCTGTTACTGTTCTTTACAGAATGGGTTTGTCCCCTAAACCTCACTATATCCACCACTGTTTTATATTTGTACCAAACGTTTATCAACGAAAGTGTTATAACAATAATAACAATAATAATAGTAACTGTCTCTTATACACATCTAGATGTGTATAAGAGACAGTGCCTACATTGTTCTATATAATTATCATTATCCTTCCCAGAGACTTAGATATCTAAAAAAAATTATGATATATAATAGGGCCTATATATATCACACAACCCCTCCCCCACCCCCTTCCACACACACACACACACATACACACACACATCAAATAGATAATAAAATAGAATTTTATTTAATTGAAGGTAAAGATAAGCCTAGTTTGTCTTATTTGCCAACCTTCTTAAGCCGAGGCAGGTTAGCTGGCCGGTTGTAGGCCATGGCCCATTACAGTAGTATTGTTACTGTTCTTTAGAGAGTGGGTTTGTGTCACAAGTTCTCCCAGAATTCCAAAACAGAGACAGGACCTCGGCAATAAGTTACGACACAGAATTAAACGCGGGTTAAACTCTATTAACCACAACACATCACCTTAACAATAAGTCCATCTAACTTTTGCAATTTATAACCTTAACACTTTGTATCACATAATTAACTAGTTGTGCACATTACCATAATATACTGAACAACGATCTCCAATTATATAATAATATCCATAATAATAACAATATAATGTTACCATTAACTTGTCATTCATAAACAACTCAGCTCTTCAACGTGGCTAACACGAACTCAGCTCTTCAACGTGGCTAACACGAACACAGCTCTTATGACGTGGCTAACAATAGATCATTTTTACAAATTGCGATAATCGATTCTGTCTATCACCATCGGTCATTCATAAACAACTCAGCTCTTCAACGTGGCTAACACGAGCACAGCTCTTATAACGTGGTTAACACGAACACAGCTCTTCTAACGTGGCTAACACTGATTAGGCTTACGTTTACATTTATTTGCAACAGTGTCAAGACTTACTACAACAACATCATACGAAGAAAGACAGACAACAGGTAGGTAGATATGATTACTAACAATTTCATTGAATACATCAGTACAACAACACACATTCATGCAAATACACACAACCCAGCCAGCCATACACATAATAATAATAATAATAATAATAATAATAATAATATAATATAAAACCGTAATATAATAATAATAATAATAATATTATTAACAATAATAATAATAATAATATTAATAATAATAATAATAATAATAATATAATATAAAACCGTAATATAATAATAATAATAATAATAATAATATTAACAATAATAATAATAATAATAATAATATTAATAATAATTATAATAATAAATATTTATATAGCGCCTAATTTTAATAACCTCGAATCACTCAACAACAACATAATAATAAACAAAAAAATAAAAAATAAAAATGAGTAGCGTTGTTCTTTAATGGTCTCCACATCCATACTCTACTCCTGATTGTCACGAAAATATAAAGAATCCTTCCATTCAATATCAGAAATGTAACCTCAGGTAATAATATAGGGCATATTGTATTACCTTTAATTGTTTCATTAATATTGACTGTGTTAAAGTATTATTATTTATTTTACACAGAATCAACAACGGCCAAAGTGACGACAGTACCACTGACGTCAGGAGCAAAAGGACAGACCACTGGTATGTAGATATGCCTTCATTGTTCTATATAATTATCATTATCCTTCCCAGAGACTTAGATATCTAAAAAAAATTATGATATATAATATATATACACACACAACCCCTGCCCCACCCCCTTCCACACACACACACATCAAATAGATAATAAAATAGAATTTTATTTAATTGAAGGTTAGTTAAGCTAAGCCTAGTTTAACCTAGTCTTAAGCCTAGGCAGGTTAGCTGGCCCTTAGGCCATGGTCCATTACAGTAGTATTCTGTTACTGTCACAGAGTATGTTTGTCCCCCGGAACCTCACTCTTCGCCACTCTTTTATATCGTACCAAACAGTTTATCAACGAAAGTTATTAATTAGTTGTATGAAAA